GATATTAAAAATATCCGAGGCAATAAGAAATTTGTAAGATTTATATGCGGCACATTATTTTTTATTCCTAATATACAAGCGTCAATATAGACAGTCATAATTGAAGCTTACCTTTCTGGATAATGAGAGAGACTGCTCAAGTACCAAGTATAATTAGCTAAACCAGTCAACAACATACTGATCGCAACGTCACACTGAAGTGTGAGAATTCGTAGCCCGTTGTCAAGCGGATTGCATTGGTACAATTACATAACAGCACATGTGTATACGCCTTCGATGGATTTTACCAGTGGTGTAACTTTCCTGAAATATTATAAAGGAAAGAATCAAAAAGGCTTTTTACTTTTATTTCATAGGCGTACATGTTTTCAAATAAGAAGCATTACGGACGCCACTGGTGTACGAAATCGCCATAAGTGCACAACGGACCAAAGAGCCATTCAATTGATTACAAACGTAGATATAATATACACTCGCCATGCTGGGACAACAGACAGAGTCCTCGTCTTATGAAACGAAAAAGCATGCCAGTATGTTTTCGTTTTAGATTACTTCTGCAAAGGATAGACGATCGAAATTTATATAACATAAGACATCGCTGCATCAATCCGATGTGATATTATTCTGAATTGGGCAACACTGCACACCATAAAAGAAATTGTGTCCAACAATATTGACCAAAATAAAGCTGAATTGAAAATTCGACAAAACTTTTGTAGTGTCGATACCCCATCGTCCCGTCAATTTGTACGATACGATAATCAATATGCCCCCTCTAATAACTTGATTACTCACCGAAGTATGCTCAATTCTGAACCATCAATAAAAGGTAAAATGTTATTATAGTTCCGAATCGGGAACCGTGAATTTATGTACAGGCTGTTTTTGGTGATATCCATCACAATATGCATGGCCGATGCAGCCAGAATCTAACAACGGCAGAGGTAACTTGAATAGCGTTTTGGTTCCGGAGGTTGCAACAATACTTACGTAATCTATAACGAAGTATGATAAACAATACGTGAATTTAAGTACAGGCTGTTTTTGGTGATATCCATCACAATATGCACGGCCGATGCAGCCAGAATCTAACAACAGCAGAGGTAACTTGAATAGCGTTTTGGTTCCGGAGGTTGCAACAATACTTGCATAATCTATAATGAAGTATGGTAAACAATACATTAAATAGTTCTTTCTCACTTGCAGACCAACTCATTGCCGAAGTGTATATCATCAAAAACCTTTCGTACGGACCAGAAATTGACAGTATTACAGTGTAGAGCATATAGGGAGATAGACGCGTATACTAGAGTGCTTCGAGTAGGTCAAATACACTATTACATTACAATTTTGTATAATCCAATTCCTCAAACAGCACAACGAGACGTTGTGAGTTTCATACCATGTATGGGCAAATTTTATGTAGACCCTGTAAGATAAGTGTATGTTCATCTGGCCTTACTTAGCAACGGATCGCCGGTCTCGTCTTCCACAGCACAGGCATGATCAGATTCCTTTCATGTGCAGCCTTCGTACTGTGACTCAATCAAATCTCAGCTAAGCGATTATAGCCACCTGAGTTGGAGGAACTCGCCACCAAGCGCTAGCAGCACTTCGAGTTCCAAGTTGCTTTCTACCAATCACTACGGGATACTTTGTTGCACTCTATTATACAAATTCAAGCCCCGGAAGTAAATTTTCAAGATTTTTTGAGGACTGTTTCTTGCACCTTCTACCGAACCTATAAGTATACGTTTCTTCTTTTCTTGCACACAGCTTATCATGTTGCCACACCAGGGTCGAGACGAGTGATTTATAGGACTCTACTAGTGGTTACACCAAAGCTTACACCACAACGATATATACACATTGACACGGACTGCCTGCGGAAGATTTCAAAACCAAAATGCTGATATTACTAGACCAAAGTACCGAGGCATACAACTTGATACGTCAAATCAATCATTGATTTCAGCTGTTTCCTTCAGATTGCGGTTTAACTACTTGGATGAGTTGTTTTGGCGGCATCAAGTCGAAATACTACTCGGGATGGAGCAGTGCTATGATTCCAACTAAAATTAATTCCCTACTTGTGCGTAAATATGCTTGTCGTTGTCCAAGTTTTTTTATTTAATACTCAAATGAAATAAATTAAGGGCCTATTTTTAATGGCAAGTTTTGTCGTCGTACGTGTTAGTCAAATCGGGTTTCGGGACGGTGTCTTCCATAAAGGAATCGAACAAGAGGAGTGGTGGAGGGACCACCACATGGTTTTATATTTCACTTTTACAAGGACTTTAACGCGTGTAATTTGTAAGAAATCTCAAATCGTGTATGCGATCAATTAGATTCGTGGCATATTAGAGGGCGAAGAGTTCACACTCGTCTGCATAGGCCGATAGGGAACGATAAAAGTCGTCGGTGGCGATAAAGAATTTCGACTTTTCTCTCTTAGCTTAGATTCAACATTAAAGACTAAGTGTGCGTAAGAGACGGAATTCTTATAGAACCAACTAGGCATATTTATACCAACTTTGAGACGGGTATTGCTATGACTCCTCCGATGAGCAATACTTACATAATGGCCAATGCCGATATGTGTATACGTATTATCCTGATTAGTATATATTTTGCAATCAAACTGCTGGAAATTAATGCCCGAAAAGCAAATCTTCAAATTTCGTCGTACCATGTGATAGAGCACACTGAAAGGGATCGCCTAGAATCGCGAATGATTGTGTATAAAAGGACCATCGGAGGACAGTCGCAAATTCCTGTCGAAACAGATAAACTCTTCAGAATGAATATGATAATTCATACAAAAGATTTTTGGCGCGCGAAGTGGAAGGAAGATGACAGAATCATCCACATATTTGAGTAGGATGAAAAGACAGTAAGAGCTGGTATCATAGCTTCCGGACACAAGATATTATAGCGATTTGTAAATCCAAGAAGACACATTTATAGGTATCAATGATGGCGATTGAAAGAAAGTACTCGTTTAAAATATAGGTGACTTTCGGCGCACACGGTACAGGATTCATGCATCATGGCCACATAGCTGTGGCACGCTGTGCGTAGAATTATGGACAGGGGTATCCTAGACGCTTTTTAAATTTCGAATACAGCGCTTGAGTCGTTCTCATCAGTTGCTCTCCCTATGTTCATAGCCCTGTCATATGTTTCTTGACGAAGACTTCTGCGAGTGTTTCTGAGGTATGGTTGAATTTAAAAATGACATTACGAAGGATCTGTTGCACAAACAGGCAGTCTCGATCAATGTATCAATCAACGATGTTGCAATTGTGAATATTAGGTTTCTCTGTCTGTATGCTCTGTGTCGCATATAGTTGAAATTCGGCAAATTTATACTAAACAAAAAGTTTGATTCCAGCACATCGGAGTGTGGGCCAGAAAAGGTACATCTTCACTTATAGTCTGACATAGAAGCCTCGTCGGCAAATAGTTCTGTGCACAGAGTCTATATCAGGCACAATGTTTCACCGTTGATATTCTAAATTGGATGATATAACCACTTCAAAATTGATTCATGTTTATCAGATTGTTGGCCGAAGCAGCTCATGTAATATAAAAAGTCGGATTCCTGCTTCTTGTGCTGCCGCATTCAACAATATAATTCTCCTTTGCGAAGTCGCTAGACCTGCATATATGGTGGTGCTGTCAACCGAGTTGACATGTGAAATTGCATCGGACATAGAAACTCCCTGACCCCTTTTAGAAAAACATTTTTTCCTAAAACTCAAAAACATCGGTAGCCAAAGATACAAAAAAATCACTGCTAAGAACTCTAATAAAACTCCGGGCGAAGGAAAAACCCTGACGATGATGGTTGATCGTTTCTCCCATACTGCCAGTCCTTTTTCAGATAGTCAATGAATATCTGACACTGATGGCAGTAGGAAGTGAACGATTCAGTCAAGCTAACATAATTTCTAAATAAGGCAATTTCGTGGTGGGTATTTTTAATTTTCTCCATCGCTACTAAGATGAACATTAGCCTGCATCAATACCGACTGCCTGTGCTCTGCGCTGGTCCAGGGTGTGGTATTGTGCGCTTTGTACTAGCTGTACAAGCGATTTACTACTTAGCAGCGGCGGTTGCTCTCACCAACTTAATAGGTGCCTTTGTATGTACAGAATAAGCGCGCATCATTGGACTGTGTTCTGCGCGAAACAGGACGAAGTGTGCAAAACCATTGGTTAGCGCTGAGTAGTGTTTCTGTATGAGTAGCATGACACAATTGTGTTCCTAGTGAGCGTGCAGCGACAGGAGTGATCATACAGTGTAGAGGCGAATGTCCATAGACCGATAAACTCATCAAGACTAGAATATATTTATAATGACGTCGTTGCAATTGAAGGTGGGCCGCACAAAATTACTTGACACAACCTAACTGAACCTCAGATAGGATGACAACAATTCTGTGCAGACATACGTATATCAAGTAAATCTGTGTAGAGTTCTGATGTTGATTTTAAAAGTAACGAACACGCGTGCCCAGCAGACTCACAATGTGCAATAGTCACACAAAATTGTCGTCAAACAGTCGCGGCAAGGGCATACTGTACTTACACACTCAAGGTCAGTATAACACACACAATCTCTACCGACACAACAGAACTGAACCACCTACACCCACGCTCACTCAACAGTAGGCAATCACTCAAGACGTTACATGTAACGCACTTGTGCAATGCAGCCATGCCTCTCACCTGGGCCGTGTTGTATATAGGTGACAATATGCCTGCCGCATGGTTGTATCATTTGTATACAATTGAACATATGTTGCTACATAATCATGTCACGGACAGTGTGTTGAGTGACAGGCTACACGTATTAGTGCGCAAAATATACGCGCGCACACAACTGCACACAATACATCCAGAAAATCCGCGTATAATTGGCAATGCTTTCAGACACGAGTACACGTCCGCGTACACACATATGCGCACATTCATGCATACATCTACCCACTCACCCTTTCTATCTGCTCGCGTTCGTTGATCCGTAACTGCGCAATCCTAGCCTTATGTTGTTCTTTAATAAAGCGTGTTTCTTCCGCTTGTGCATCTCTGAGTCCTTGCTGTGCTGCACTCATGGCGCGTTCCAGATCGGTGGTTTTCTTCTGCGCAGCCTCTTTCCATACAGCCTCTTCACGCGCATGTTGCTCAGCCAGGGCTCGGGCTTCATTTTTATGCTTATTCTCCATCTCTTTCTGTATATATATATATATATATAGAGAGAGAGAGAATATTATTATATAT